CAAGGAGGGGATTGCAGCCTCTGGAAGGTACAGCGGAGCGGGGACCCTGGCCCCCCAGCCATCTCTCCCCAGCCCAGCACTGTGGCTGAGGTGCAGGGTCTCAGTGAGGGAGGGGGGCAGGCGGTCTGGCCAGCTGCATGGCCTAGCCCCGGGCAGCGGGAACAGAGCCAGGGCCTTCCAAGGCCGAGCAGCCCCCGGCACAAGGCTCCCAGCCCTGACCTGAGGCCAGCCAGAGCAGAGCCACCAGGAGCCAGGACTAGCCCCCAGCAAGGGGCCGTTGGGGACTCTGCTCCAGGGCTGCCACACCGGGCTGCCAAGGGCAACCGCAGGAGGAGAAAGTGGGGAGGGAGAGGCTGCCCCACCAGTGTGGATTGGAAGGAGCCTGGGTCTCCTGGGGCAGGGGTGGGGGACGCCCCGGCTGGCACCAAAGAGGGGGGTATCCCTGCTGGCACCGGACTCCCTGTTGTCCCCACCCCAGGAGAGGGGGACACCCCCCCGAGCACCAAAAAGGAGGGCAGCCCTTCTGGCACCAGACTGCCCATTACCTCCACCCCAGGAGAGGGGGGTGTCCCCCCCAGCACCAAAGAAGGGGGCAGCCCCTCTGGCGCCAAACAGCCTGTTGCCACCACCCCAGGAGAAGGGGGTGTTCTCTCCAACAGCACAGAGGGGGGCAACGCCTCTGGCACCAGACTCCCCATTACCCCCACCCCAGGAGAGGGGGGCATCCCCCCCAGCAGCATGGAGCCGGACAGCCCCTCTGTCACCAGACTCTCGGTTGCCCCCACCCCAAGAGAGGAGGCCACCCCCCCAAGCCAAGAGGAAGAAACTTGTGCTGACTGCCTTGGGCAGGGGGCCCTCACAGCCGCCCCGGCAGAGGCTGCAGTCCCCACCGGCGCAGAGGAAGAGGCTGCCCCCGGATCGCTGAAGAGGACGGAGGCTGTTGGTGCTGGTGCAGCCCCCTTTGTGGAGAGTGTTTTGCCCCTCACGGGGGGTGCAGAAACCTGCTGCCCCGTGGAATCCCTACCCCCCACCTCAGCCCCTGTGGGGCAAGATGTAGACTGGGAGCTTTTGCGCTCAGGCATCTTTCAACTGACAGGTGAGTGCCCGGGCCTATGCTGGTTAGCAGCTAGGCACGTGGACGGGGGAGGGCTGGCACCCCGGAGCCTGGTGTAGCAGCACCCCCACCCTCCTGTCCCTCCTGTCGCCTTAATGCGGGCCACGCCTCTCCTCCGCTTGGGCCTGGTGCCCTGTCGGCCTAAGTGCGCTGAGGGAGCTGCCTGGACAAACTCGGCGTCTTGGAGCTGGCCAGGCCAAGGAAAGCCCAGCGCTGATGCAGGGCTGCTGGCCGGATGGACTGTGGCCCAGCAGAGAGGGCGCTGGCTGGGAACTAGGAGGTCCTGGGGTCTAGAGCTGCTTTGCTGTTGGGCAGAATGTGCCCAAGGGGCCCGGAGCCCCTTGGCTGGAGCTCCTGAGTTGCACCCTCGTGCTTCTTGTTCATTGTTTCCATTCCCTTCCCAGGCAGCCTGGCCTCAGGCCCTCCTTTACAGGCAGATACGGTAATGTGGGAGCAGCCCATGGGGCAGGGGGCAGAGCCAGGGCTCGGCCCTCAGCTACTGGGGCAATTGAACAGAGCACGCGAGCCCTGTGTGCCCCTCTGCCCAGTGCCCCACATGGCATGGGGCTGGCGGCCTCGTGGAGAGCCGTGGCATGGGAAGGAGACCGTGGCTGCCTGAGGGAAAGGCTGCTCCTGGATTCAGTGCAGTGGCCTGGCTGTCTGGGGCAGGGGTTTTCTACAGCTGGGCATCTCCCAAGGGGCAGAGCTAGAGTGCCTGGCACCGCAGGGGAACAGAGCAAGGGTGGGGGGGGAATGGGGGCTCCTGCTGGGGGGTGGGGAGAGTGCAGTACAGCGAGGAGGGGTCCTGTAGGGATCATGGAGGAGCGTTTTCCTCTGAGATCCTCTGTTCCCCTTTGTGGGGCGGCGGGGAGAGAGACTCCCCTTCTGCCACCTGCTAGCTCACACCAAGCGCAGGGAAGACCCCAAGCAGCCGCTCCTCCTGCTTGGCCCAGCTTCTGGAAGCACAGAATAGAACTGCTCACTCCCACCGCCCTAGGGCTGCCCCACAGCTGTCCTCCCTCTGCCTGCTCCTGGGGGGGGGGGTGTCATGGGCCCTGCCCAGGCTCACGGCCTCCTTCACCCTGCCTTGCCCCTGTAGGCGGAGTAGACCGGATGGGAAGGGCCTTACTGACCGTCACCCCCCAACCCCCAGGGGAGCCGGCCCCAGCCCAGGGGGAACTGAGCCAGGCCTTGCGGTACCTGCATTCGCTGCTCAGGTAATGCCAGCACCAGGGAGACCCCAGTCCTCCCACGTCCATCCCCCCACATCCCTACACCACCTCCCCCATGGATGCCTGCCGACCCTCCCCATCCCTATGCCAATCCCTCCCGGTGCAGGGGGAGCTGAGCCAGGCCCTGCAATTCCTGCATTCGCTGCTCAGGTAACACCAATGGGGAGACCCCAGTCCTCCCACATACGTCCCCCCCACTTTTCACGTCTTCCCCCACACTAGCTCCTTCTGCACAGCCCGCACTCCTCCTTCCCCCACAGCCTCATCCCCACTTCTCACACCGTCCTCCCTACATAAACCCCCATGCTCCCAACACCAACCCCACATTGTCCCCCATACACCCCCACAACTGCCCCATGCTGCACACCTCGCCCCATCCCCTACCGGGGGGTGAGAACTGTCACCCCATTAACCCCTCACTGTCCTCTCCCCTGTAGGAAGGAGCAGCAGGAGCTGGGGCTGACCGTGCTGCTGGATCTGCGGCAAGGGGGGGCTCTGTCCCCCCACCCCCCTGCACTGCTGCCAGCCCTGCAGGAGATGCAGGTATGCCCCAGACAGACCCCCCAGCATTGCCATCCCCGCCTGCACAGCCCCCTTCCTACCCCCTCTAACAGTTCTCTGGTTCTCCCCCCTGCGGAGCCCAGCCCTGCCTCACCACCTCCTGCACGGCTGCCAATCCTGCAAGCACCCAACACAGCCACCCAGCTTCCCCTGCAATGACCCCTCCCCACCCCTTGCTTGCCTCCCACATGGTACCATGCTGCTCCTCCTGCCCTGCCCCACAGCGCATGGCTCCCTGCCTACAGCCTGCACTGCCCCCCACATGGCCCCATGCTGCTCCTTGCCCCACAATAACTCCTCCCCCCCTCATGGTGCAAAGCTCCCCCCACTGCCTGCACCTTCTATGCATGGCCCCTCCCCACCCTGCTGCCAGCCCTGCAAGGACTCCAAGGAACACCTTTGCCCCCCCCATCCCTCTGCTCTGGGCACTGGGGTGGCAGCCTGATTTCTTCTTGCCTTGCAGGAGGCTTCACCAGCTCCTGTGAGCCGCCTGCTGGTGCTGGCCCCACTGGAGGGCCGCGAGGAGCTGCCCCTCACTCAGGTAGGGGGCGTCAGGGGTGGGGTAGGAAGGACTGACAGCACCTGAACTAGAGTGAGAGTGCTGGGAGGGGGTGTGGGGGAGATTCCCGGACGGGAGGGGGGAAGATAATGGGAGGGGTTTCCTGCCTGGAAGGAGCAGCTGGGAGGGTGTGTGGGGGGGATAATGGGAGGGGGTTCCCTGTCAGGGAGGGGAGGGGATAATGGGGTGACAGGTTTTCCCCTAGCTGGGGGAGGCAGTGGGGGTTCCCTGCTTGGTGACTCCCTGCTCCTTTCCCCAGGAGGCACTCGTGCTCTCCCCAGGCGACCTGCCTCAGTTCGTGGACCCGGAGCAGCTGCAGTCGACTCTGGGCGGGACCCTGCAGCACTCACAGACCCAGTGGGTGGAGATGTGCCAGGTGAGAGCTAGGAGTGACCCCCATAGCCCTCCAGCACCCCAACACCTCCACAACCCCCGCCCCCTGCAGCAAACTGTGTCACACAATCTCCCACATAACCAGGGGTGGCACATTCCCCCCCACAGTACCCCTGGCTGAACCCCAGGCCCCCTTCCCACCATCTCCTCCAGGGGTCTGTGTCCCCCTTGCTGCCCGCTGTCTCTCCCTGCAGGCGCTGGAGCGGCTCTGCGGGCTCTGCCAGGGCGTGATCCAGTCGGTGCAAGTGGCCAGTGCCGAGTTGGAGGCATCAGAATTGGCCGAGAGTGACAAGGTACGTGACACCCCCATGCAGCTCACCTCCCCCACACCCTGGTCCCCTTGCAGCTCGGTGCCCCTTGGCCTTCATAGAATCATAGAATATCAGGGTTGGAAGGGACCTCAGGAGTGTGACGAACTGGGACTGTTCTTAATGTGGTCTTTGAATGCTGAGTGGGGAGTGTTGGCTGGGAAGGCAGGGGAGGTTGGCTAGGACGGTCTGCATTGGGGGATGGGAGACTGGCCTTGAGGGAAGACACCGGAGCATGTAACGTGAGAACCCAGGAAAGGGTTAGAGGCCAGGTGACACCTTTGCCCGGGAAACTGAACAAAGGCTGTGGGAGGGGTCGCTGAAGGGAGAGTTTCAGGAGCTGGCTGGTGGAATGGCTGGGAGGCAGACAGGGCTCTGACCTCCCAAGGGGGCTGTGGGGCCCTGGGACCCCAAGATGGACCTAACTGGGGGGGATCCTGTTGTCTGTGCCTGCAAGACCTGTCTTGGACTGTGTTCCTGTCGTCTAAATAAACCTTCTGCTTTACTGGCTGGCTGAGAGTCATGGTGAATCGCAGGAAGCTGGGGGTGCAGGGCCTTGTGTCCCCCCACACTCCGTGACAAGGAGGTCATCTAGTCCAACCCCCTGCTGAAAGCAGGACCAATCCCCAACTAAATCATCCCAGCCAGGGCTTTGTCAAGCCTGACCTTAAAAACCTCTAAGGATGGAGATTCCACTACCTCCTTAGATAACCCATTCCAGTGCTTCACCACCCTCCTAGTGAAAAAGTTTTTCCTAATATCCAACCTAAACCTTTCCCACTGCAACTTGAGACAATTACTCCTTGTTCTGTCATCTGGTACCACTGAGAACAGCCGAGCTCCATCCTCTTTGGAACCCCCTTCAGGTAGTTGAAAGCAGCTATCAAATCCCCGCTCATTCTTCTCTTCTGCAGACTAAACAATCCCAGTTCCCTCAGGGTCTCCTCATAAGTCATGTGCTCCAGCACCCTAATCATTTTTGTTGCCCTCTGCTGGACTCTTTCCAGTTTTCCCACATCCTTCTTGTAGTGTGGGGCCCAAAACTGGACACAGTACTCCAGATGAGGCCTCACCAATGTCAAATAGAGTTGAATGATCACGTCCCTCAATCTGCTGGCAGTGCCCCTACTTATACAGCCCAAAATGCCATTAGCCTTCTTGGCAACAAGGGCACACTGTTGACTCATATCCAGCTTCTCATCCACTGTAACCCCTAGGTCCTTTTCTTCAGAACTGCTGCCTAGCCATTCGGTCCCTAGTCTGTAGCAGTGCATGAGATTCTTCCGTCCTAAGTGCAGGACTCTGCACTTGTCCTTGTTGAACCTCATCAGGTTTCTTTTGGTCCAATCCTCTAATTTGTCTAGGTCCCTCTGTATCCTATCCCTACCCTCCAGCGTATCTACCGCTTCTCCCAGTTTAGTGTCATATGCAAACTTGCTGAGAGTGCAGTCCACGCCATCCTCCAGATCATTAATGAAGATATTGAACAAAACTGGCCCTAGGACCGACCCTTGGGGCACTCCTCTTGATACCGGCTGCCAACTAGACATCAAGCCATTGATCACTACCCGTTGAGCCCGATGATCTAGCCAGCTTTCTATCCACCTTATAGTCCATTCATCCAGCCCATACTTCTTTAACTTGCCGGCAAGAATACTGTGGGAGACTGTATCAAAAGCTTTGCTAAAGTCAAGGAATAATACGTCCACTGCTTTCCCCTCATCCACGGAGCCAGTTATCTCGTCATAGAAGGCAATTAGGTTAGTCAGGCATGACTTGCCCTTGGTGAATCCATGCTGACTGTTCCTGATCACTTTCCTCTCCTCTAAGTGCTTCAGAATTGATTCCTTGAGGACCTGCTCCATGATTTTTCCAGGGACTGAGGTGAGGCTGGCTGGCCTGTAGTTCCCCAGATCCTCCTTCTTCCCTTTTTTAAAGATGGGCACTTTCCAGTCACCCGGGACCTCCCTTGATCGCCATGAGTTTTCAAAGATAATGGCCAATGGCTCTGCAATCACATCTGCCAACTCCTTTAGCACCCTCCGATGCAGTGCATCCAGCCCCATGGACTTGTGCTCGTCCAGCTTTTCTAAATAGTCTGAAGCACTTCTTTTTCCACAGAGGGCTGGTCACCTCCTCCCCATGCTGTGCTGCCCAGTGCAGTAGTCTGGGAGCTGACTTTGTTCGTGAAGACAGAGGAAAAAAAGCACTGAGTACATTAGCTTTTTCCACATCCTCTGTCACTAGGTTGCCTCCCTCATTCAGTAAGGGGCCCACACTTTCCTTGACTTTCTTCTTGTTGCTAACATACCTGAAGAAATCCTTCATGTTACTCTTAACATCTCTTGCTAGCTGCAACTCCAAGTGTGATTTGGCCTTCCTGATTTCACTCCTGCATGCCTGAGCAATATTTTTATACTCCTCCCTGGTCATTTGTCCAATCTTCCACTTCTTGTAAGCTTCTTTTTTGTGTTTAAGATCAGCAAGGATTTCACTGTTAAGCCAAGCTGGTCGCCTGCCATATTTACTATTCTTTCTACACATCGGGATGGTTTGTTCCTGCAACCTCAATAAGTATTCTTTAAAATACAGCCAGCTCTCCTGGACTCCTTTGCCCCTCATGTTATTCTCCCAGGGGATCCTGCCCATCAGTTCCCTGAGGGAGTCAAAGTCTGCTTTTCTGAAGTCCAGTGTCCGTATTCTGCTGCTCTCCTTTCTTCCTTGTGTCAGGATCCTGAACTCAACATCTCATAGTCACTGCCTCCCAGGTTCCCATCCACTTTTGCTTCCCCTACTAATTCTTCCCTGTTTGTGAGCAGCAGGTCAAGAAGAGCTCTGCCCCTAGTTGGTTCCTCCAGCACTTGCACCAAGAAATTGTCCCTTACACTTTCCAAAAACTTCCTGGATTGTCTGTGAACCGCTGTATTGCTCTCCCAGCAGATATCAGGGTGATTGAAGTCTCCCATGAGAACCAGGGCCTGTGATCTAGTAACTTCTGTTAGTTGCCAGAAGAAAGCCTCGTCCACCTCATCCCCCTGGTCTGGTGGTCTATAGCAGACTCCCACCATGACATCACCCTTGTTGCTCACACTTCTAAACTTAATCCAGAGACTCTCAGGTTTTTCTGCAGTTTCATACTGGAGCTCTGAGCAGTCATACTGCTTTCTTACATACAATGCAATGCCCCAACCTTTTCTGCCCTGCCTGTCCTTCCTGAACAGTTTATATCCATCCATGACAGTACTCCAGTCATATGAGTTATCCCACCAAGTCTCTGTTATTCCAATCACATCATAATTCCTTGACTGTGCCAGGACTTCCAGTTCTCCCTGCTTGTTTCCCAGGCTTCTTGCATTTGTGTATAGGCACTTAAGATAACTCGCTGATCATCCTGCTTTCTCAGTATGAGGCAGGAGTCGTCCCCTCTTGCACTCTTCTGCTTGCGCTTCCTCCCGGGATCCCACTTCCCCACTTACCTCAGGGCTTTGGTCTCCTTCCCACAGTGAACCTAGTTTAAAGCCCTCCTCACTAGGTTAGCCAGCCTGCTTGCGAAGATGCTCTTCCCTCTCTTCGTTAGGTGGAGACCATCTCTGCCTAGCACTTCCCATGTCTCCCCTGTTCCCCAGCCCCGCTACAACTGTCCTCCCCTCCCCCTACAGGTCTCCTGCCACCCTGTATTCCCACGCAGCCCTCCAAGACTCCCTGGCTCTCCCCTGTGACTCTCCTGCCCCTGCAGGGCCCCCTTGAGCTTCCTGCGGAGGCTCTGGGCTGGGCCAGCTGGGTAGGGGGCTCTAGGCTTGGTCATCAAAGCAGGGGCCTCTGGGCCAGGCTGGCTATTCGGGGGGCTTTGGCCTGGGCTGTTCGGGGGGGCTCTGGACAGGGCCATGGTGGCTGGGCAGGGGCTCTGGGCTGGACTGGCTGTTCGTGGGGCTCTGGGCTGGGCTGGCTGGGCAGGGGGCTCTGGGCTGGCTGTTCGGGGGGCTCTGGACTGGACCGGCTGTTCGGGTGGCTCTGGGCCAGGCGCTGTCTGGGCTGGAGGGTTTGGGCCAGGCCAGGCTGGCTGTGCAGGGAGGGTGTTGTATTGCTCACTGTTATGTGCCCGCAGGCACTCTCTGTGCGGATCTCCGGGCACAAGGATGCCATGCAGAAGCTGCTATCAGACCCACGGCTGCTGGAGTTGCAGAGCAGCGGGGGGTCCCTGCTGGCTCAACTGCCCCCACCAGAGACCTGCAGGTGACACCTGTCCCACATTCCACACGGGAGGGGAGGGGACACCAGGCCTAACAGTGGGAGGAGATCGGGGCCTACACACGGGGTGTCCCCGCAACCTATGCTGGGGGGTGGCCCCTGTGCCGGAGTTCGCCTGTTGTAGTTGGGAGAGGTGGTCTCTGCCCCCTTTATGCACACGCTGGCCTGGGAAGCTGCCCCATACCCTGTGGCCTGGCGGAGCGGGTGGGGTGGGGGGTGGGGGGCGGGTGACGAGGTTGGCGGCGTGGTGATGTGAGAGGCAGGGAGTGACATGCTATTTGCTGTCCCCAGGCCACAGTGTGGGGGCTGGCGGGGCAGGGCGGTGGCTAGATGGAGTTGACAGCATGGGGGTGGCTGGGCAAGTGTGGGGTTGGCAGTGGGGGGGCAGCGCATGGGGTTGGGGGGGGCAGCGTGTGGGGCAGCAGTATGGCGCGAGGGGTGGCGTGTGGGGCAGCGGTGCGGCGTGTGGGGCAGCAGTACGGCACGAGGGGCAGCACGTGGGGCTGGGGGAATGGTGCGTGGGGCAACGGTATGGCGCGAGGGGCGGCAGTATGGCACGAGGGGTGGCGCGTGGGGCAGGGGCTGATGTCCTTTCCCGTCCCCAGTGCCCAGGCCGTGAGGGCTGCCAGCTTGTATCAGGAGGTGGACGATGCCATTCATAGGCTGGTGCAGCTCAGCAATCGGCGCCTGGGGCAGCTGGAGCAGGAGAGGGGCCGCCGGCAGATGACACAGGTAGTACCCCTCTGTTACCTCCCCGGTGACCTTCCCCCCTCACTGCCCCCCCCCCCCACTGTGCTGCTGTGTGTTTCACCTTCCTCCCCACCCCACGCCCAGAGCACTGACAGCCCCCGTACCTGCTGCATGCTGCCCCCACATGCCTCATCTACCCCATGCCTGCCCCACGTGCCCCTCCCTATCTGGCACCAAAACCTTCCCTGCCCTCTGCCACCCCTGTGCCTGGGGTTCTGTCCCCCCTCCCAACTCCCGCGTCCAGCAGTCTAGCAGCCCCCATGTCCTCTCCCCCACCATGCCTGGGGTGCTGACCCCCACATGCCTGCCCCCCTGCCCGTTCTTGTTGCTCTCACCCTCTGTCCTGGCAGGCGGTGGGCTGGCTGGCTGACCGTGGGGAGCAGGCGCTGGCAGGATTCACCCCCATGGAGGTGTGGGATTCGGTGTTGGCCGTGGAGGAGACGCTGGCGAAGTTTGAGGCTTTTCACACCCTCGCCAAGGTGAGACACACATCCCTCCCCCACTTGAGGGCTGCAGGGAGGAATCTGCAGGGACACACCCACATGTGGGAGGAATGGGGGGCTGGGACCCTGAGGAGAAGAGTGTGGGTGCATACTGGGAGGGCACTGCCTGGTTCTGTGGGGCACTACATATCGGGGGGGGGGTGCCAGCTCTGCGGGGTGCTCTGTACTGAGGGGCTGGCATAGACTTCGTGGGTGGTCTGCACTGGGGGGCATAGACTCTGCGGCATGCTCTGTACTGGGGGGGCAATGGCTCTGCGGGGCGCTCTGTACTGAGAGGGTGGGCGTTTGCTCTGCAGGACGTGCCATACTGAGCGGGGGGCATTGGTTCTGCAGGACGTGCCATACTCAGGGTAGGGGGCTGTACCGGCTCTGTAGGGCGCGCCATACTGAGGGGTGGGTGTGGTCAGTCTGCCGGGCATGCCATACTTGGGGGGGCACATTGGCTCTGCAGGGTGCGCAATACTGAGGGTGAGGGAGTGTAGGCTCTGCAGGGTGTCCTACACTTAGGGTGTGTGGGGGATGCATCAGCTCTGTGGGGTACACCATATTGAGGGTGGGGGGGGTGTTGGCACTGAGGGGCGCGCTATACTGACGGTGGCGGAGCGTGTTCACTCCGAGGGGCGCACCATACTGAGCGTGGGGGGCGTGTTGGCTCTGTGGGGCGCACCATACTGAGGGTGG